GGTAGAGTGCCATGGCGCCACAGCTCACAGCAACCTCCAGCTCTTGGGCTTAGGCGATTCTCTTGCCTCAGCCTCCCAAGGACCTAGTTGTATTTTTAATAGGATACATGTGATGTTTTGATACAGGCATACAATATGAGTTAATAAAATCAGGGAATTGGGATATTCAACCTCAGGAATTTATCATTTCTTTGTGATAGAAGCATAACAATTCACTCTTTTAGTTATTTTAAAGTATACCCTAACTTACTGTGGATTATAATCACTTTTTTGTGCTATCAAGTAGTGTTTATTCTATTCTAATTATGCACAAATATATCTACATTTTGTACCCATTGGCTATCTCCTCCTTTGTCCCCCCAACATACTAGCCCCCCTCCTGGTATTCAATGCCAACCAACACAGCACCACAGGGACCCCACTTCATCCTCCAGCCTCATCATCAACCAGCTTCCTAGAGAACTGAGTTGGTTTTATAGGTTGGTTAACAGCTCAGCCAAAAATGCAGGGGGCTTTGGTGGGTGTTTTGTTTTGTTTTGTTTTTGTTTTGTTCGAGACAGTCTCTGCTGCCCAGGCTTGAGTGCCGCACTGTCGATGGAGCTCACAGCAATCTCTAACTGCTGGGTTCAAGCAATCCTCCTGCCTCACCTTCTCCAGTACTGGAACTATAGGCACCTGCCAAAATGCATGACTAATCTTTCTACTTGTTAGTAGAAAGAGGGTCTCACTTTTACTCAGGCTGGTCTGGCACCCGTGAGCTCAAGCTATCTACCTGCCTCAACCTCCCAGAGTGCCAGGATTACAAGCTGGAGCCATCGTGCCCAGCCTGGTGGTATTGTTTATTGCCTTGTATGAAGCTTCCCTAGACACCTCCATGGAAGAGGAGGTAGTTTGCCTAAGGCTTGATTCAGAAATTTCTGGTTCAGTGGTGATAATGCAAAAGCTCCTTCATTCTCCCCTGATTCCTATGAAAATAACCTAAACTCCTCTGATTTCCATGTTCCTCCAGGATATTGAGAAATGGCAATCAGTACTGTTAGCTTTCCCCTACAGAACAGTTTCCCTTACCTGGGAATTTCATCCCCAGTGACATGAAACGTAGGAGAAATAGTGTGCGATGATGACCATCTTGCCTTCGGTGAACCCAATGATGACCTTGCTTCCGGTGAACCCACAGCAAGAGATGAGATGGAAGGGTACAAGTGAACCTTTCCAGACCTAGAGTATAAATGTTTTAACACAATAACTAAGTAAATGACACAAAGTCTATGTTAACCAGTTTGATGAAAATATTTCAAATTGTATATGAAAACACTACACTGTACCCCATGTTTGCATTGATGTATACAGCTACCATTTAATTAAAAAAAAAAAGAAAAAAGAAATGTCTATCTGAAGTAACTCCTCACCTATTCTGAGAAAATAGAATGAGATTTGCACTGTAAGCACAAGGCAGGGGCCCAGTTGCAACAGGAGAAGCTCTGCAACAGGACTTGACATTAATGGTCACAGACTCCCTGTTTTGTCTCTCAGGCCCCCATGACTCCATCCCTTCTGTCATTATATTGAATTTAACTGCATCTGTGTCTCCCACTAAATACTGCTCTCTCTGTCCCAGTAAGCAGACCTCAGTCAATTCTCAACACCTCATAATTGCTCTAAGGTTCAGCTTCATAGCTCTAAACATGCTGTGGACACCAGCAATCTCACTGAGAGCTATAGGGAGAGATGAGAGTCCTAGCTTTCATTCCACCTTCACCCATCATCGGTGCCCAAGACAGTGGAACTCTAAAATGACTGATTGAAATTCCAGGACAAGTTTGAAATGGGCTGCGATGGGAGAACAATCCCCAAGAGGCATGAACTGGTAAAGGGACCAAAGGAGGTTGAGAAGGTTGACAAAGATGCTGAATTAGTGGCCCAGTGGAACTCCTGTACTCTAAGTCAAGAAATATTAAGACGACCAATAGTTGCCTGTGAACTTGGCAGACTTTATAACAAAGATGCTGTCGTTGAGTTTCTGTTGGACAAATCTGCTGAAAAGGCTCTGAGGAAGGAGCATCTCACATTAACAGCATTAAGAATGTGACTGAACTAAGGCTTTCTCATATTCCCGCCTGGGAAGGGGATAAAGGAAATACAAAAGGCAATAAGCTCAAGGACCTCCTGCGGGTAATTTTCAATGGTCGCGCCATGCGCCTGGAGGTGAATGGCCAGCACAGGTTCTGCTTCCTTCGGTACTGTGGGTGTGTGTTTTCTGAATGAGCCCTGAAAGAGATAAAAGCAGAAGTTTGTCACACATGTGGAGCTACCTTCCAGGAGGATGACATCATTGTGCTCAATGGCACCAAGGAGGATGTGGAAGTGCTGAAGACAAGGTTGGAGGACAGAGGCTGCGAGCAAAGCTGGAAAAGAAAACAAAGAAACCTAAAGCAGCAGAGTCTGTTTCAAAATCCGATGTTCTGGGGCGGCGCCTGTGGCTCAAGGGGTAGGGCCCTGGCCCCATATACTAGGGGTTGTGGGTTCAAGCCTGGCCCTAGGACAAAAACTGCAAAATCCGATGTTCTTGAAGAAGCCCCAGGACCATCAAAGGTTGAAGAAGCCCCAGGACCATCAAAGGTTAAGACAGAGAAGCCTGAAGAAACCAGCCTTGATTCTAGAGAGAAGAAAACCAGCTCAGCTCCCAGAAACACAGCAACAAATGAGAGCTCTGCTGGAAAAGCTGGGAAGGCCCCACGTGTGGCCATAAAGTGATCCGTTGCTGACGGTGTCGAATTGGAAGGCTAGAAGTCCCTCTTCATGACCCACAGCTCGGCCAAGTGCTCCAAGTAGGAGTCAGCCCTCTGGGTCACCCACACGTCCTACTGCTTCTGAAGCCCGCACCCACTCTCCCTCCCAGAAGACGCTTATTAGTCTCCCGTAGGCCTGTCCTTGTGCTCCTCTGATTGTAGCCTGTATTCTCTGGTGTTGCTTCCCTTGTACAGTGCCATAAAGTTGTCCCCACCAACCTCAAAAAAAAAAAAAAAAAGAAAAAGAAAAAGAAATTCCAGGACAGTGAAATTAGGCATGTGGGCATGTGTTGTAAGGAGCCATGGAATGGTGGTGGAGCTCCTCATCCGCCTCCTGCCTCCATGAGGTGGCGAGGGTGGATAAAGCATAAGCATGCTCAGAGGGAAGGAAATGAAGGAGAGTGCACTTATTTTTTTCTTGCATCAGAAATCTTTACTGAGATATTGGAACATGAAAGCCCTATGCTAGATACTTTCCTCTTCATTCTGGAAGGCTGGGCTCTGGTCTCCTTTGGCTGGCAGGAATGAAGATTACAGCTAGGAGCAAGGGAGTGTCCTTTGAGCCAAGGTCTTCAGTGGCCAATATGATAGCCACTAACCAAATGTGTTTTTTTTTTCTTTTTCTTTTTGAGACAGAGTTTCACTTTGTCACCCTGGATAGAGTGCTGTGGCATCATCATAGCCCACAGCAACCTCAAACTCTTGGGCTCAAGCTATCTTCTTGCCTCAACCTCCTGGGACTACAGGCATCTGCTACAACACCTGGCTAGTTTTACTATTTTTAGTAGAGACAAGGTCTCACTTTGCTCAGGCTGGTCTTGAACTCCTGAACTCAATCAATCCACTCACCTTGCCTCAGAGCATTAGGATGACAGGCATGAGCCATCACACGAGGCCATTTTCCATTTTTTTTTAACTTTTAATTTTAATTAACTAGATTTGAAAATCAGGTTTTCATTTGAACTAGGTATATTCCAAGTGCTCAAAAGCCTCATGTGAACAATAGCTGCCACATTGAACAGCATAGACAGGAAACATCTCCACCAGTCAAGAATTCCACTGGGCAACACAGATATTAGTCACCTGCTACCATCCAGTTGACCACAGGGTCCTGCCTTGAGGTATCTGGCATTCCTTTAACCAAACAAAGAGGTTCTATGGGTCTTTCAGTCCATGGTCTCTTGTGTGTGTCATGTCCTTGAAATATCCCATGGAGTGAAATATCCCATGGAAGCAAAACTGAGGAAGTCCTGAGTTCATCAGCAGTATTTTCCAGCCTATCAAACAGCACTTGAAATAAAATCTATACCTGAGTGAATAGCAGTGTGTCAATCAGTTTCCTGATTTTAAGAATGACTATTGTTATAAAAAGTATTATCAATGGGGGAAACTGGGTGAAGGGCATGTGGGACCTCTATACTATTTTTGCTACTTCTGGTGAGATTTAAACTCTTTCAAAATAAAAAATTATGATTAAACAAGAACAAAAAGAAAATATGTACTGATTTTTATGAAAATATCCTGAATGCCTTTGCTTCTTATGCATTTATATGAGACAGAGGAATAAGGTTCAAAACCTTCCATCTCCCCCCAACAAGAATACACGTCTTTTACAACACATCGTTATAAAATTTAGTCAAAAACCTTTCTTCTCCTGGTGTTAATGTGATGACACGGCAACGTCGTTCGTGTTCTGCTCCTGTGTCTATATTGCACCCACATCCACACAGCCTGGAAAACACAGAGTAGAAATGTGAGTAGGTGGAATGGGCTCTTCTCCATCACATGGTGGAAGTAGCCCCAGATTAGACGTTTGTCTTTACGGATGCCTTCTCTGATGATGTTCAATCTATAATAAGAGCCCATTCCTCTACGACTTTTGTTAAATTAACTGCATCTTTGTTTCCACCTAGTAGACAATGATCTTGTCTCTGGAGCCATGCCTCATGAGATTCCCAGTCCCTAATGCTTATCACAGTCTGTCACACTTGGTAAGACTCACTACAGCTGCATTCTTGTAAGCCACAAGAGGACAACAGCCCTGCTCTTCTTCTGTCCTTCGTGAGTCCCAAAAAGGAGGGAATGTTAATCTGATAAAGTCAAATTGCACAACAGTTTATGGACTAAGTTTCCTAAAAAGTAGAATTTATTTATTTGCTGTGTGTCATACACAACAGAGCCAGGTCAAGGCTCTGTTGTACATGCATTCAAAGGCTTTCATAGCCATTTTTTCATAGTTACAGAACTATGAATTGTTGCTTAACCTCTCTATCAGTTTTCTATTTCATAAAATAAGAATACAACACCATCATCAATTTGTGATGATTTATTATATAGGGCTAAAATTACTTAGTACAAGAGTTAATTAAGATGGACTTTCTAAAGGCAGTAACTCACCTTAGTTATCCTCAATATTTCCTAATCCATGTCTTTTATGCATACCATACCATCTTTCTTATCAGTCACTTCAGGCTGCTATTAAAAATCCCACAAACTTTAAAGCAATAACTGAGAAAATGACATGAAGGCTGTGTTGACCAGTTTGATGGAAGTATTTCAGATTGCATGTGAAAACCCCACACTGTACCCCAGAAGTGCATTAATGTACATAGTTACCATTCAATAAAAAAAA